TTAGAACAAACATATTCTATACAATTCACCCCTCATATCATCCTCAGTACATATCAGTTGATTAAATTTTGATGTGAAATTAATTTTTAAACTAGTGAGTAACAACTAAAAATGCTTTAAACTGTTAATAATTAGGCAAATGTTTAAAATAATAGTTTCAACACATCACTTGTAAAATGGAAAAGTGAGTATAATTAAATAAGTACATTTATATTATATTTTACAAGTAATTATTATTTTACGAATGTTTCTTTGTTCTGGTTAAATTGGGTATAAGTATTTCATCCCTCAGTAAGTTTTGTGTTGGTTTTGTAGAAGTTATAGGCAAATAGTGGTAGTTGAGCTTTGCACTTGTTATTTTGAACAAATGTGGGGGTAGCGTACTCACAATGAAAACAAATTAAATGTTTTCAGAATGCGTAGTACCTCATATATTCGATCGGCGTTCTCAGCGTCGCGATGCCTTTGTTTGAAGCGGAACAGGTGTCTGTAATAACCGTATATTACGAAGATATCAAATTTTTATTGCTGTTTTATTTTCGTACTTGCATGCGAATTGCATAAAATATTCGTACGTTTTGTTATATTAAAACATGGCGGTAAACAATTTTTTTAGTTATAACAATAAAGAAAATACCAAACATTACGTAAATACTTATTATATAGATTGAATTCAAATAAATATATTACGATAATAGTTAGGTAGTTAAAATATCAAGCAAGTACATTCAATGAACATTAGGCAATCAAATTATTAAATCAGGAAATTAAAATTTTAGTCAATTGCGTTAAACTGGAGATTGAATAGGCGTAAATATTTATACTTGAATAAGTATTGTATGAAACATTATATCAATTATGTTAAGATCTTAATTCACAGAACTTAATATGTGATTTTAATTCAAAAGTAGAATACAGTAGCAAGCCATTATCAATAATTGATTTAAATTATTATTTTTAAAGCTGTCTCCATCAGCAATATACATATATTTAAATTCTCTGCGTCACATCTGATTAATCCATTTTAATAACAATAATATTTAGTAGAAAATTGCGCTCAATTCTTAAACCGGAAATAGTTTATGCTTTATTCATAAACTGCCCTTTCATTCTCACTCATTATGACCGTTTTAATCTGAGCTTAAATTGTTGTTGGCCCTATTGAGATAAGGATTGTCGTAAACATTTAAAACGTCTGCTTCGTGTTACAAATCTCCTTCGTCTGGATCTGTGCACGTCTGAGTGTGTGACCGACAAAGCGTAAATACGTGTGGTACAATGGGCGCCGGAAGCTCAAAATCTCCCTGTCAAAATCGCACAATCAGGAAAGACATGATAACACCAGACTGCTTGACGCTGACTGTAGCGCCAGGAGCATCGCGACGCTGTACGGCGGAAACCCTAACTACCATCAGCAACACGTAACGATTCGTCAGTTACTCGGCGGTGACCAAAGCATCAAACCCCTCTCTATTTACGCAAATCTTTACTGCCAAACGTGTGCCATTTAATAAGCAATCTTTTTTATTTTTATTCACATTTAAAAATCTAACAACATGAAGAAGACAGTAATTATCGAATGGACACAATGACCGATGGAGAAGAACTGAATAGATATCAACAAACCATTAAATGCACTGTTAGATATGTAAGTTGTAATGTTGAAGTTCTTTCACCCCATACCTGTAGATCTTACGATTAAGTGCATGCAACTTTACGTGGTTGTGTTACTCTATCCCTGTTTCTCTCTGTTCCATTTGTTTTTTTGTCGTTTTCCAAGTGTAATTTCGCGTTGGTGTAACCGTGGGTTTTGTGTTTTGCGACCCAGCTGCCAATTAGGTCACTAGGGATGTAGTGTATTGTTGAAGAGAGAGCTACTAATATTAGACACAGAAAGAGTAATAAATATACAACTTATTATATTATGTCACTTTGATTGTAGTAATTTGGTGTCTGATGTATTTTTAAAAACAGATAAGTTTTTAAGAAGTTATTAGCTGAACTATTTTCATTTTTTAATAAAGTTTTCCCCTCTGGAATACATTTGGATGATGATCACTTATTAAATGACAAAAGTGGCATTACTCTTGATAATAAAATGTGATTGTATTGATGTGATTTTTGAATGCGTGGTTTTAAAATTTAATTTTTCTAGTTGGTATTGTATTATTTGATACCGAAAAATTAGAATCAAGATAGAAAACATAAAAAGGTAAAATTTAAGGAAATTATAATTCTAAAATATGATTGAACAACGTTCATGCAATTTTACTATACTGTTTATAACTATTTACGTAACATGTCCTAGAAATGAGGGGTGTGGTAGTTATAAAGTGGAGAAAAGAAAGAAAGCAGTTTTTGGATTCTAGATTTAAAAGAAAGCTTTTTAATAATCCCATCGTGTTTATATTTTCTTCGAGTTAATAATGATAACATTTTATAACTCACAAATAGAAATATGTGTTACCAGTATTAAATACTTTTATTTGTCCAAAAGAAAAAAGTTTATTTTGTATTTCTTGCGTCTGTTTTCAAAAATATGTTATTTTTAAAACATAAAGTGAAAACTAACGTGAAAGCCCCTAAAGAGCTGTTTTAATATCACTTGATTACACACCCGTGAAAATGTCAATTGGTTTGGTGCAATCGATTTACCTAATCAAATTAGAGCAGTCCTTGGATATACCCACAAAGACAGATAAAATTATCAGAATATAGGTAACATAATTATGTAGGGGTCACTAATTTTTAATTTTCTATAATAAATTTGGTTTTAATTATAACCGAATCGTCTTTATAACCGTGGCAGCTTAATGATAGCAAAAGTATAATGCAATATACGGGGGTTGTTTTGTTTCAACATTCATTAGATCATAAGTAATAGTTAAGTGAATATAACAAGTATATTTTATTACTAACATTCCTAGCCAGTTTGTCAGTTCAGGGATGTCACTCGGTGTTAGATCGGAACGGTATGGTAGGTGGTCAAAAATGTCCGAATGAAATTTATGAAAAAGTCTTGACACGTTAAGGCATAGGTATTTAAATTTATTAGCGGCAATAGTTTATGGAGTCTTGGAAAGCTTGTCTGCAATCAAAGGTAATTTTGACAAAAAGAAAAAAGAATTATCTTAAATATTTTATTTTCACTTGTCTTCTATTTATGTTGTATTTGTGCGAGGAAAAACGGCCCTCTTAGTTTTCATTAAACTGGTTGACCCATTTCATTCCCTGAAACTAAAAGTAGCACCAAAACATAATATTTTCTAATCGATTAAAAATTAGGTCTTAGGGGCATTTTAGCATATACCTACTTACTAATTTACAGTAATTGTTTGTTAATTAAATGGCATGTATGGAAAGTGACTTTTACTTCTACATAAAAGTACTAAATTCAGTTGCAGTATTTTTGACAATTTGTCTTTACAATTAGTACAACTTTCTATGATGGCACATGCAGATAAAAAGAATAAACATTTCCACGTGCTACTGTTTACAGACTCATTTATTTCCTTTTATACTCAGAAGAAGATACAAAGAAGTCAAAACAAACGTATGAGGATATACTTAGGCACACGGTTTATGCAAATTTGTGTCAATAAACTTTGATGATGTTCTGATATTTTAAAGCAGTTTTATGTTATTATTATATAGTTGCTAAATAAAGGAAAGTCGCCTAATTATGGATAGTCTATTATCTTAAAATCAGTTAACAGTTTATATTTGTAACCGAAAACTGAAACCACAAAATGAAAGATTGTTAACATAAATTGGCCTATCTGAAGCACGTAGAACTAGAGTTCATTACTGTAGGTAATATATATATATCGAAAAATAGTTGTAGAAGAAACTTTTGAAACAAAAGCTACTATAACGATGCTGTTTTATTTGTACTTGTATGGTTCTAAATATATTCTAGATATCTAGATCTTATTAAAACTGTGAAACCTTATACCGTGCGTGGACATTTCTGTGACCACAACTTTACCTTGATGAAAACGTAATTTTAGAATTACAAACAAAAAGATTCTGAAGCAAATTTTATATAGATAGATACTTATTATTTCCAACAACTTTACGCCTATAATATTTTTAAACGTAGGTATATATTAGAAAAAGACCAAAACAGATAGATAGGTAATATAATTTCTGATAACGGTGCAGAATATTGGTCTGTGTCGCTGTAGTCAATTTTATTCCAACATTCCTTCTATAAGGAGACATCGAAATGGATCTAGTACCAGGTCGACTATAAATAGACATTTTATTATCCAAAAGTTTCTCTTAAAAACTCTTTGAACATGTGTAATTTTTCTTTTTATAAACACACGTACATAACGTACAGAATGTACGTACAAGTACTTTTAATGTAACTAACGCTTTTTGTGCTTTAAAAGATGTTAGTGATTACAACCAGTCGATGTGTAAGTCAATTCCTATTCTATTTTTGAAATCGTAATGTATTTGTTTGGTGACTGGCGAGGGCGCTTGGCGCTACCACTGAAACCAGGAAACTGGTTGCTCTTGAAACTAATTTAGAATGCTATTACTTACATCAGCGCCTTACAAAAAGTTTATGGTTTTATCGTCCAGTTTTCACTGTAAGTACATCGATACATTTAAAAATAAACAGAGGAAGAACGAATTAGAAAGCTTTTCACTTAAATTTTCCCTAAGTATGAGAATTTATGNCTAACTTTAACTTGTCAGAGGTAACTGTAGACCGTTTGAAAACAAGTTTGCAAAAAGAAACTTATACTTAAACCTATGTCATCACCCCTTAAAATAACAGTGATCTATGTTTAATGGTTTATATTTAATTATGATAGTCATGAGAAGACAGATCATTTTCAAAGCTGTGCATATTGTATATATATAGGAATAAATAGACTCGTTAAGAATTCAGAATAACTAATGCGCATTCACATGTTTATGATTAATTATGGAAATAATTTGTCTATTGTGGTATAATTGCTACATACTTTTTTTGTTTTTAGCAAATGAAGATTTACAAGCACAAGTTAGCTGCCAGATTTGGTCTGATGCATATGATCGGTACAAATCTATCCGTATGGTTGAACGTTTTAGTTCAAGAGACCAAACATGAAATCCTGACGTTCTACAATCCTGAGAACAATTCCTTAAGAATTTCTCATCGATTGGCTTTCAAAAACAACATATTTCAATTTCCTCACATGTCACAGCCCGACAATGTCACTGATAATAATAAGCATCATATAGTCGCCAGAGGGTTGAAAGGACCCCATCGGATATACGAATGTAGAAGAACGAACGTCCTGGGAACGTTAGTACAAGATGCGTCTCCTTTCTTGTTCCCTTGTACCATTGAATACAGCTTAATATGTGCCGCCATCCTGTACGTCATGTGGAAATCCATTTCGAAACTTCCCATCCCCAATATGAACGGGGAAAAAAAGAAGCTGGAGCACGCTTACAGGAGAAGTCCTCATCACTATTCCGTCGATTGTGCAAGGGCCCATAAAGGTTTATTCGTTGGTATTTTACTTCTAGTTATGACCATAATTTCCCTTATTTTGTTCTTTGTTTTAATATCGCGACAGGAGTTCGCAGCTGTGGCACTTATTGAGGTCAATATTTGCGAGCTGACCCTTTACGGAATGGCCTTCTTGGCCACGTTGATAGGCATGTGGCAGATACGTCAACTCAAATACGACGGCAGTCGTAATCTTCAATTAGACAATATTTTACTTGTGGGGGCGCAAACGGGGATGTTTATTTACAGCATGTTTACCATCATCGGGGGTCAATTTACGATAGAGAAAAACACAATACTCACCCTAATAACGGCTTTAGCGTCCGTTCTCCAAACAACCTGCCAAACTATTTTTATTCTCGACGCTTCGAGACGATCTTGCGTGACGCCAGATCAAATTCGGAAGAAACCGGGGAGGGAAATTGTCACATTCTTATTGGTGACGAATTTGGCGATGTGGGCCCTAAACACGTTAGAAAAGTCTAGGGCAGATTCCCATCCGATTCAATTACATTTCTACGGCCTTTGGGCATGGACGATTATTACACACGTTTCCATGCCGTTGGCAATTTTCTATCGATTCCATTCCACTGTATGCCTTTGCGAAATTTGGAAGAGGGCGTACAAAATTAAACCGACGTACATGTAGGGGTTAGCAATCGAATGTGGCATTAGTTGCCACATGTGATAATTACCAAAGATCGGCGATTGTAGTGTTGCCCAAACGCAAGAACAAGACGAGACTTAGCCAGTCTTGGTCTTGGTCTTGCGCCAATACACCTGGTCTTGGTCTTGGTCTTGGTCTTGCGCTCCCAGTCTTGGTCTTGGTCTTGGTCTTGCAGCAAGAGTCTTGCAAGTCTTGCAATTACCTATTAGTCTATTACTATTTATTAAAGTTTACTTTAAATCCTAGAAAAACGTATTAGAATTGGAACATTGTGAGCTTGAATGAATATAGCCATAGTAAAGATCAAGCAGATTAATAAATAACTGAAGATTTGATAAGAAATTCGAAAAATCAACTGACCTATATGTCGTTTTCCATGGAAGTAACTGTTTCTTAATAAACATTTATGATCCTTGCTTTCTACCGCGCCGCCTCGCCACGTGCCGGCTCTATGATAAGGATGCCGCCGCAAATCAAACAATAATATAAAGCGTGTAAAAAAATTCGAAATTATTTTGCATGAGTATACCTACACCCTATGGCGGCAATCAAATAGTGTCAAATGTTATGATTTCGGCGTGGCGGCAACGATTGTTTTAGATTTCAAAAGAAGCCGCCGGCGCGTGTATCATAACCATGTACTTCCGAAAAGCGGCAAATTTCTTTGAGAAGTAAGTACAAAACCTTTGATGCCGCATTATCAAAGTGCCGATGGTTAAAACATAACTATGCATGCACTCAGTTTGATTTTAATAATTTTTTTATTCGCTATGTTTATGGTATTAGTCGTAATGCGCATAGGTCCA